TTATCAACCTTTTTTCTGACCCTTCCTACTGTGTCTTTATGATATCAATACAGTATAAACGACCTCCATTATGACTGAACTAAATAGCAACTATCTATTAACTATTACAGATATAACATATAAAAAAAGAACATAGCATAATTTAGACATAATATTAGCCAAGAAGGTAGACTTTTTTTTTTCTGTAGTTAACATATGCCTGAACAGTTCTTTAAATGTGTCAACTTTGTTTAGCAACCCCAGCATGCATATTTTTGTAACTAATAAAGTCATAATAGGAAAAAACAGAGCTTAAATGGCCCTTTTGGCATATCATGGGACAAAGCTGTAAACAAGGTGTGCTTCCTGGAGAGTTCTTGAAAGGAACCGAGTGAAATGAATAAATCCACTTGTTGGATATGTTGAAGATAAAGTCGCTTCAACATGCTAATGTGACTAATCTGAATCTGCTTAGCGGGTCCCTAGTGTAAGGATAAAAGAAACTCAGATACTTTGATCTCCTGAGAAACAGACAATACACTGGCATCTTCAAGACACCCCACAGAGGGGTGGTGGCGCATAAGGAATCTCCAGCAGCAGCACAAAAAAAAAAATTTTATAAATTAAATAAAAACGTGCTTGCTGATCTGACTTGTTACCATAGCAACTTCAGCCTGTGAATCCTCACACTTTCTTTTCTCCCCATTTCCTGTGTCGCAGGATGAGAGGCAGGAACCAGCTAACCAGTGACGGAGAGCATAAGCACAGCTGTGAATGCAAGGAAATTTGTCATTTCCATCTGACCTACAGAATATGAAGGACCCAAAAAGGAGCCTAAATGTCATAATATGACGTTAATCGCACATTTAATTTCTAAATAAGTTAATATTTAACCAAAGTGTCACTAGATACTTGACTCTACAAATATGCTAACTAGAAGGCCATGTCTTGTATGCAGCTAAAATTAGGATAGCTACCCACTAAGTCGAGGCGAAAAGGTATACATTGACAAACAAAATAACCTTCGGTTCCTCAAACGAAAGTTTCTCTGTAACGCACCCACTCCTGCTCCGCTTGCCCTCGGCATTCTAATCACCTCATTAAATTGATAATGAGATTATTAAGGTGGCCTCCACAGGGACACACAAGGGCTCCGTATTTTGGTGGGGACATTATTATTCTTAGCACACAATAGAAGAGTTCATCTGGACATGTCTGGAAGGAAGTGTCTGGGGGATCAGGACAACTAAACCCGAAGTGCTGTCCGTCAAGGCTTGATTCCACCTCACACAATAACAAATCTGCAATGGAAAAATGACTTTCAAGGACTTCAACAGCTGGGGGAACCGGACCATGAATAACAGAAGATTCTGAATATTGCATATTGAAGAAGCAGTTAGCCAGTCTGACGTATTAACAGAGCTATAGGTGATTTTAATGTTTTTAAAAACAGAAAAAGTTGAGGAGAGAGAGATAATAGAGTCATTAAAAAAAATTAAAAAATAAAACATTATAGTCACAAAAACTAAAATTTGGGTCTGTGTAATGCATTGCTAAATACAAAATATTAAATACAAAATACAGAATACAAAATACTTGAAATACTCAATTAATTTGAATATTTCCAAAACCTGGCAGAAAGACAAGTAAATAATCTCATGTGATTTTCAAATTGCATTGTTACCTGCAACCTCAACTCTTTTACCAAAGTTATTGTATTAAAAAATATAATAATAATAATAATAATACATTATTATTATTAGTAGTAGTAGTAGTAGTAGTAGTAGTATTCATTTGTTATTTATTTATAAGAAATGTAAGCTTATCAATAACTTCAAACCAACATTTGGTTTGGCTGAAAAAGTTTACAAACAAACAAATAAACAAACAAATAAATAAATAAATAATATATTTTATTTTTATAATACAATAAAATTATAATTTATATAAATATACTAATAAATGTTTTATTATTATTATTATTATTATTATTATTATTATTATTAAATAATGACTTCAAAATAAATATGATTACAATATAAGGAAAATGCTTGAATTGAAAATAAAAAATTAAACAGTACAGTACAGTACAGTCACAGTACAGTATTTCTGTAACAGTGTTGCTGTTAATATGAAATTGATAAAATAGAAAAATGAAAAACAGAGAAGCAAAAAGAACACTGCGAAAAATCTTGTTTAATGTTTAGTTAACAAAAAGCCTCTGAAGGTTAAGCACCTACTTTCACTGACCAAAATAAAGAAATAAATAAAAATAAATAATAGATTCAGTTCAGGCTCTATTTTGTTGGCTATTCATGAAGAATCCCATTTATTCAGAAGTAGAAATATTCACCACTGCGTTCATGTTTTTATTCTCATAAATTGTAATTCAATGAGAATACGACATAGATTTCCAAAGAAAGGAAAATAATCACACACGCCGTTAGTTTGAAAATAGAGCACAATAAACAAAGATGTGTGTGAACCGTCTTACTCCCTTGAGGGAGTTAACTCCCAAATAAACCCTTTTAGATCGTCGCAGACTATCAATTACGGTAATGACTTTCAGAGAGGAACGAGGCTTGGGTGATTGGCGAATGAGAGCAGGAGCTTCTTTAAATGTTTCCTGTTAGCCGGATAACGGCTCTACGTGTATATGTTTACACGCCTACGTGTACTTGATGCACATGTAAAGGCGGAGGGGGTCTCTCCGTGTGCCCTTGCATACGAATAATGTCATTACCGTGTCATCTATTTGAAGTCAGGCACATGTGGGACGTGGGAAGGAGGGTTAAGGGCCTTATTGAGACAGATCATTCACCCGCATTAGCATAGAGAGAGAGGAATTATTGAGTCCCTCTGAAAGCTTCATTAGCTCCTAACCAGACATTGTACTCGCCAAGCACACGCTTCCATGCGCTCGTTTCTGCTGTTCTCGGGTGTGTGACGGTCAAACTCGGTGACGGCGATGACGACAAACACGTCAACAGAAGCGCATGACATGAAGGCCTTTTCATGAAGCACCACAAACACATAAAAGCCGACCCGGGCTTCACTTGTCTGCAGCGTAGCGAAGCTGCCCGAACTGCCGTCCGCGTTCAGGAAGTGTCCTTTTCAAAGGTCATACTTCGTTACAGTCAGAAGAAATGTCAGCTAAAATTGGATTTGGAGAAGAGGCAATAAAGAAATAAATAATCAAATCACACATCAAACGTGACATGCAACCTAAATACAAAGGTTGAGATTGTTATTAAAGATGGAAATAGACAATATCTTTCTGAGAGTACCTTCAGAAATCCAACTTAACAGGTGATATTTACCCTGATAGCAGCAAATAAATTCCTTTGTTAAATGGACAGTGTCAGTAACCAGTCTAGGGCAAGCTAATCGAGAAATAGCTAAGATGCTAAGCTACCAATAGAAAAATCAGCTAAGCTAATAAGCTAATTATTACTATTATGACTATTATTGAATGTATTAGATACTCAAGACAAGATTAGACACT